TTTTGTTGTTGCTCTTTGATAAGTGGTGCTTTCACACAGGAGGACGTGCCTATTTCCAGCTGCACAGGTTTCATATTGTCATAGTCTTAGCATTTAAAGACATAGTAAGATAGAATATTGTGAGATTCCATAGTTTTTTATTATTGTGTTATAGAATATGATCCAAGGCTATAATTCTTTTTGATGATTAATATTGATTATCTGATTAACTATGGCCACGGTATGTATTTTCTTTACTCGTTAATATAATTAAGCAATGTATATCACATGTATTTGTATTGTAGGAAGGTTGAAGCTCAAGTATTGAATTGTTTTGCGTTGTTGAACAAACACACTAATTTTAAGCATTGCTTTTATAATTTCTGTTTTGGCTTTACGCTTCAAGATATTTGACTTCTATTATAAGTTTTTAATTTAAGAAAAGTTAACTTTATACATCTACATGTACATAATAATTTAATAAAAGTTATAGTTCTTCGTCGTGCTGCCGTTCCTCCTACCCCTGCCTCTGCCTCTTGGCTTGCCTCTTGGAAGATTGTTGTACTAAAGTAAAATGGAATAGATAGGTGATTAATTGGTATCTATATAAACTGCAGATCATAACTAAAAATATTTTACAACATCTCTATTGATTTGGCGTAGCTGCCATATAATGAGCTGCCTCTGCCTTTGCAGAGCAGCAATGTCAAGCGGACCTCCAGCTCCAGCTGGATGGAGTGCTGGAGCAGCAAGTGGATGTGGCGGAGGACCTCCAGCCAACAGTGGAGGACCACCAGCCACTGGTGGCTGACCTCCAGCCAGCAGTGGAGGTCCTCCAGCCAGCAGTGGCAGACCTCCAGCCAGCGGTGGAGGACCTCCATCAACTGGTGGAGGACCACCAGCAACTGGTGGAAGACAACCAGCTATTGGTGGGGGACCACCAGCCACTAGTGGCGGACCTCCAGCCAGCGGTGGAAGACCTCCATCCACTGGTCGAGGACCTACAGCTACTGGAGGTGGCCGAGGAACTGGTGGTGGTGGTAGCGGGTCTCCGGGAGGTGGTGGTGGAGGCCCTTCAACTACTGGTGGTGGTGAAGGAGGACCTCCATGATGCTCATCATAGTCCATAAACTATAAGAAAACATAATGATTGATAATGTAAGTTTTTAACTGAACTGACTTGCTGCTTTTTCAAATAAAAAATTACTAAGGCACACAGAGGATAAGTTTGTGAGCTGTGAGCGGGAAAATGACAACTGAACTGAAGCTCAATGTAAACTTAAATAGTTTCAGAACAGGATATAGATCTTAGTAATGACAATAATTATAATAATGATGAAATAATTATTAGCTAGGCTATGAATATAATTGTGACCATAATTGACAAAAGGTACCTTATGGTGGATAGCGAAATTTGTCTTTATAGCCTTAAATATCCAACTTCCTGAAGTCCATTTATCATAACATTATTCCAGAGGATGCAAAAAGTTGCTATGTAACATTTAGAAACAATGGTTGTCCATCAGAGCACCCACAGGTTGATATTTTTCATTATAAAGATGAATTTTAAAATCCGCCATAAGGTACCTTTTGTCAATTATGGTCACAATTTATGATTCAAAAATTCAAAAAAATAATGATTGCCATGAAAACTGTTTTTATAATGCGGTAGGTCTTCGTCTTCATATGGTTCTTATTTCAAAATTTTTTTCTTCCAGTAATGAACTGATACCTAAGGCAAAAATTATAATAAGGATAATTAATTAATTAAATTTAATAAAAAGTATGGAAACAGGTAAATAAAAAAAATTTCTATTAAATAAGAAAAAGTAGGGTTGTCAAACAATAAAAGAAACAAGGGGGTTGAGTTCAACCATAATAATAATTAATTGTTCAATTAATAATAATAAAGTTAATTAATAAAAAATAATTATTCTAAAAAATAATACATAAATTTCAACCCTACTTTGCAGAATATGCTAATTGTTCAGACTACAATATAAATTAATGAATTTAAATTATTTATGCCTCTGTACTTAGTGATTGCCTTAATACATTGCTATGAGTATGATGAAAATTAAGTATTCTGATAAATAAAAATCAGAATTTTTACCCAGCATTGATTGAATAAATTACTGTCATCACAAGTGAAAATTCTAAACTACGGATGATTAGTTTGCTATTGCATTCTTTAATTTTTGTGAAGCATTACCATAAAAATTAATAAAATTAAAATTATTAATGTATACTTGTTAGTTTGATTTTAAAAGTAAAAGCATGGATACATGTCTTTAGTATATATACATTTTTAAAATTTTGATCTGATTATGTTACATTGTTAGGAATTGTCAGTAGGGCCAACTTGCACACTTGCGTAGGCTGTAACTAAGCAGTTGGGTTGTCATTCTTTCATTAAACTTTGTCATGTTAAAGTAATCAGTAATCCCCCAGCAAAAAAATCTTACGTAAGATCTTACTTAAGATCTTACGAAACCTTACAAATGATCTTGCATGTTTAATCATGCCTGTTCTTGCAAGATCATTAGACAAGAAGTTCCAAAATCTTGCCAAGATCTTATGATAAATCTTACCAAGATTTTATGATAAGCCTTACGTGATCAGGCATGGTCTGAAGATTAATCTTACATTATCAGTCAAGATCAGTCTTTAAATCTTATATGATCAGTCAAGATCAGGAACTAAATCTTACATGATCAGTCAAGATCAGGAATGAAATCTTACATTTTCAGTAAAAATTTGGAATTAAATCAGTCAAGATCTGGAATTAAATCTTGTATGATCTTTTAAGACTCTTACTTGTTATGAACTAATGTCATGAAGGATATTGTAAGATCTTGTCAAGATCTAGAAGAAATAGTTAAGTTCAGATTTGGGATTCCAAGCATATCCCATAGTATTAAAATGACTGCAATTGTAAGATCTGAGCAAGAACTTACATTGCTTAAATGCATGTTATTAGAGCTTAATTAAGTTTAATTTGTTGAAAGTTTGCTTTCTTTATATGCTCATACTTTTGTAAAGCTATCGTGGGTTGTCACTACTTCCTGTGCCATCACGCAACTTGTAAGATCTTTCAATATCTTGTATGACTTAAAATGATGTGAAGTGTAAGATAATTCATGTAAGATCTTAAGTAAGATCAGGCCTGTACATCTTATCAATGATATTGTAAGATAATTCATGTAAGATCTTAAGTAAGATCAGGCATATACATCTTATCAGTGATATTGTAAGATAAGTCATGTAAGATCTTAAGTAAGTTCAGGCCTGTACATCTTATCATGTAAGATAAATCATGTAAGATCTTAAGTAAAATCAGGCCTGTACATCTTATCAGTGATATTGTAAGATAAGTCATGTAAGATCTTAAGTAAGATCATGCCTGTATATAGTAGCTAAGATTGATCCAAATAAAATCTTATAAGGTTGTTCTTAATTCTTATCTCACCTTACTTTATTTGATCAGATAATACAAGATCTTAGTAAGATTTTTTTGCTTGGCCTTCATTAAATGCTGCAAAGTAGGGTTGAAATTTATGTATTAATTTTTAGAATAATTATTTTTTATTAATTAACTTTTATTATTATTAATTGAACAATTAATTATTATTATGGTAGAACTCAACCCCCTTGTTTCTTGTATTTTTTGACAACCCTACTTTTTCTTATTTAATAGAAATTTTTTTTATTTACTTGTTTTAATAAAGCAATTGCTATGTTGCAAAGTAGTGGAAAGCACTGACAGGGGGTCGGCCAGGTGCCTTGATTTTATAAGGTTCCAAGAGGACATGTCAATACCATTTTTGCCAGTTCACTAAAGCAATGTGCTACATGTTGCATGTGTTTCTTTCCTAGCTTAAATGTTTACTGTTTTGGAGAAAAAGGTACAGAAACTTAGTCACTTTTACAAAGCAAAACTTTAGTTTCTAGAGAAGATTTATGAACCACAAGTCTGAGAGACCCTAGTTCCACTCAACTTGATTATTCTATGCTTCCTACTTTGTTGTAAAACAAGAGACATTTTAGTAAAAGGTACAGAACATTAGAGAAGAGGTCCCACTTGACACCCGCTGTTAGTAATGAATGAAACAGTTGGCTATTGGTGAGTATCTGTATGAATTTGGATAGATAAATATAGAAGTTATAAGGTATTTTATGCATACTTTGCAACAACTGAGACTAAGATATGTTAAGAGAAATGTGGACCTCTCCCGTTGCTGAGGAGAAACTGGGATGTGGGATGTGATAACTTCGCCCTCTATAGGGACGCCTGCGCAGTTTCCAATCCCTTTATAGTCTATTAAATATAAAAATTATTAACAAAGCTCAGTCACACCCCTTGCTGTGAATCATTTTTTGTTATAAATCATTCTCACCAAAATTAGTCTCTCCCAGTTTATTTTTGCGGTAGATATTTTTGGCGAATTTTACGTTCCTATGATTTTGGCAAATAGTTTTTTGCAAATGGCTGCGGACCACACCACGTTGCAATTGAAATGCAGAATTTCACGTTGGTTAAACTGGTATATGGTATTTGAGTGACACCCAAAACACACCTTAAAATGTCAGACAGGGAGAGTCTGATGACACTGCAGTATTTTTTTGGAAATTTGTTGTATGGTATTAGCTATGACGTGTTCCCACTCCAAGGTTCACAAAAATTGAGTTTCGAAAATGTTGGTGGAGGTGGCTAATGTGATATCACAAGAGGCAAAACTTGAGATGAATTCATTCCCATGTTGGGATCATTAGCTTTTATTATTTTAACCATGAAACAAAAGTCATATTACCACACGTACTATACATGCAGGTGAATCTTCTTGTTTGCTATGTTCAGTCTTTTTCTTACAGTTGAAAAGTCATTAAATTACTACTGTTACACTATAAGGCAATAGAATGAACAATCATTTACCCCTATAAGGGAATGGCTTTCTCTGCATTTCCACCTTTTGTGACATTACACATAGCCAGACTAGCTGACAGGAAGTGACGATAATTGTTAAAGACTCATCCCTGTGAATAATTGTTAGACAATGGGAATTGAAAGACATCATTATCAATCATATTAAGACAATTAATAAAACACCCGAAAAATACACTTCAGTGGCTCTTAAAAAGGACCATTCACATTTTGAAAATTACAAGAGTGACTTTACTAAGGAAAATGAGGTGCATTATCATTTTTAAGACAAAAACTGGCTTGCCCTATTTATCAAATACTTTTCTGTCTAATTGCATCATACTGTCTGTATTGTAATTGTGACCTGTGCTCCATACCACCAAACTTTTTCCAATCAATAAAAGACAGCATTAACAAGCCCTTTGTGATGAAATTGATGTAACACTTAGGATGCTCACAGCTTTTCATACTCTTAAAGCCTTACTTGTCCATCGGAAAGCTC